GAATTTTTTCCTACAAATCAAAAAATAATGAGTATTTATAAATGATCAATGGCCAATGATCGACCATGGCGAAAGTAGGTGATGAATATCTGAAAGGCGGCCATGCTGGGTCAACGTCGGCTGCGAACTGATTTTTTTAAGTGAGCCATATTCTTATGGAATGTTGTTGAATAACATTTCAACAATATTTTCATAAGTGCCGTAGTCTAAAGCTACGTGATAAATTTGGAATGATCTGAAAGCTAGAAGGATGTGCTAATGTTTGAATTTTTTATACTTGAATCATCACGTGATGCTGTAGGGAGATACAGCGGAAAGGTGGGGACGCCACACAGACTCCAGCGATGAAAATTTGTGTGCATGCAACATGCACACATTCTGGCCCCGCCCTGGAGATTCGCCGGGTGGTACCTCCGCGTTCGGCATACATAGACCGTCTACCACCTACGGACAATGACAACATCTATAGCCAAGAGAGAAGATTGTCTTGGGACGGGATTCGAATCCGCGCAAGGCACGGTGACTGATTAGTAGACCCAAAAGCGTATATCACTACGCCACTGCTGATAAGCTATTTACGACAATGGACATCAAAGCACGATAAGGTCGTGAAAAATAGGCTACTTTTCTATAAAATCTGCTTTTAACAGTTGACCTCTAACCACACCAGCGCTGCCTAACGTGAGGAAAATTTGAAATCGAACTCATTGGCCTGACCTTTGCCACTCATCCAACAAATGTATTTTTTTCCAAATATCCATTTTATTCCTTTGAAGTTGCGTTGAGAATTAACTGACGGAACTCGTGTTTGGCCTCCGGATTATATATTTTTAATTGGGTACGTTGGCATACCATTTTACGTATTTTTCGATACACCCACATATCAAATGCTTCTGTCCTAATGATCATAGCAGTGTTCAGAGGCAAACTTTTACAATCATATAAAATTTGAAAGCCTTTCACGTTATGCAATTGTAATAAATTTGTAAGCTTGGGCTTCACTCCCACAGAGAAACACCTTAATTTGTCCATCTTTAACTTCATTCTGTTTAACTCTTCGTTGCTAGTATTGCAAGGTAAGTGCTCTGCTTACCGTAGCATTTCCGGTGACCAGATTAATTGCACTACCTAACATTTGCTAACAGTTTATAACAATAATATTTATACAGTGTGTTCGCATCATAGTACACAAGTCAACGCGTTATTTTGTAGTAAGTTCCTGAGTTTCTGAGATATGGTTTCTGCCTGTTTCATTCAACTACTGATTTCAAAGGACTGATCTAAATCCTTGGTTGAAAACAGGGGTTTCGTCGTTTTTTTGGCGGTCTTAGGTTTTTTACATAACACCCCTGCCGATCTGGCGTGATATAAACAACACACGTGCTAACCACTCCGCTACCCAGGCCCCTAAGAAGAGGATGCCTAAGCTCATATGTTGTAGTTGAAAGTTCACATACGACAATTTTAAAAGGTAATGAATGGTTTTAATCATACCGAGGCCACAGCCAAGGTGACATGTACTTATGTATCATACTTAGCTCTACGAAACGGTTTAGATAATACTTGTGAGTCTATTGTAGAACATACAAACATTTGTGAAATTTTCCACATAAGTCGCAGTACTAAGGTGCCAACTGCAGCTCAACGGAGGAAGACCAGAAGTCATAGATATGGCGATTCTGAAAGAAATCGACCTGCTCACGACCATCGGCGCCTTGCAAGAGGGAAGTTCAGACTACAACCCCATCTTTCTTCATTTGGGAGATGGGAGAACACCTGTGGAACAACGAACAGTGAAGAGAGTGGATTGGCAGCGATTTAGAATCAGACTACACACCATTTAGGACCACTACTACAGATTGACAGCCCTGAAGACGTAGAGGAAGCGGTCACGGATCTAGAAAGGAAGATTAAGGCTGCGTTAGAAGCTGCAACCACCGTGGAGGACATAACGCAACAAAACAGGTTCAGGGACCTACCTGACGAGGTAAATCGCAAGATCACTGAAAGAAATAGAGCCCGAAGAGTAGCCCAGGAGACGAGAAGCCCCATGGACATCATGGTGGCAAACAGACTGACAGGCAAGAGACGCCTTGAAGCAACGTCATCAGAGCACCTGGGATAAGAAACTTGAAGAACTATCTCCAGCTGATCCAGGAATGTGGAACTTGGCAAAAATCCTCAGAAGCTGAAGACATCCCATCCCCCCAATACACAGCGAACAGGGGATGGTGTACACAATCGAAGAGAAGGCAGAAGCTTTTGCTGACAACCTTCAGAGACAGTGTACTCTCAATACTCACCCCGATGAAGACGAAGACTTCATCGACGAGGTGATAAGAAGATCGAGGAGAGCTGTAAGAGGAGGAAGAGCCATCGAAGTCATGACCTCTCCAGGCGAGGTAAGGGAAATCATCGGAAGACTCAAGGTGAAGAAAGCACCGGGTGTAGACAAAATTGGGAACAGAGTTTTGAAGAGACTCCCGAGGAAAGCGATAATGGCAATCACCAACATTGTCACGCCATACTGAGACACCGATACTTTCCAGAACACTGGAAAGTAGCCGAAGTGATCAACATACCAAAACCTGGGAAAGACCCAAGGTTCCCCCAAAACTACAGACCCATAAGCCTGTTGACGGCACTGAGCAAGATTGCGGAAAGGGTAATCGAACGAAGACTGAGGAACGAAACTGAAGAACTCCGAGTAGTTCCAGACGAACAGTTCGGATTCCGAAGCGAACATTCAGCAGAGCACCAGGTCCTAAGGCTGGTCGAGATGGCAACGAAATCGTTCCAGACTCGGTGGGCCGTGCGAGCTGTGTTCATGGATGCCGCTAAGGCGTTAGACACTGTTTGGCATGACGGACTGATCTACAAGATGGTAGACCTCGGATATCAACAGGGATGATCCAACTGGTGAAGTCCTATTTGAAGCACCGTAAATTCCGAATTAGGATTGGTAAAGCAACTTCGACGACGAGGACTGTGAAGGCAGGAGTACCGCAGGGAGCGGTTTTATCACCCTGCTGTATGCAATCTACAGTTCAGACATCCCGAAGACTCCACAAATGCAACTGTATGTGTATGCGAACGATACAGCATATGCGGCAGAAAGAAAGTACGAGACCCCGCATGGTTACGGAATACTGCAACGAGCGACTACCAACCTAGTGGAATGGTGCATCGAGTGGAAGATCCGTCTCAACCCTGAGAAGACCGAAGCGGTACTTCCGAAGAATCGAAGATTACCTCAAACCAAAATAGAGATGACGACCACAAGAATGGAGAGAGGCTGGAGAAGAGACGAAGAAGTTGAGGTCGTTTGGAAGGACTCCAGCACGTACCTTGGAGTCAAGATGGACCAAAAGATTGCTCTTCCCCCCACTCCTCAAAGGGTTTGAGGTTGCCTGGAACAGGGTGGTGGAGGGTCCGCACAGGGTAGGAGGTGTGGTGTGTGTGAGCAACTGCAGCTAACCTGGCGTAGAACTTTGCGAAAAGAGGCATTTGTAACCAATCAATAGATGTATCATTATATCATGCGGGGGATTCCTTTTATCCTGGAGCATTTTATGATACCAGGATACGTTTTGAACATTAGAATTCTGAGAGTTATATAGCAATGTTACCCATTCATGGTCTCGAAGATACGATTTGAACTAGTTAAACTATTTGCCCCGAGTCGTAGGATAAGTGTTTTGCCAACCATTCAGGCACAGCTAGGGACTTCAAATATCTGACCGAAAAGTAGTTG